CTGCACATCTCTGATGTTGCTGCTATTTTCAAATATCCATTACTGGACCTTTCTGCATAGCTGCATATTGGTTATTTATTCTCCAGGTGAACAGTTTTATATTGTTTAAACACTTTACAGTGCAGTATTTTATTTATTTTTTAGCTCTTCATTATTATGTTATTCTTATACATCTTTCTAAGATCCACATTTGTGTGACTTTTTTTCTCTAATCTTTTAGCTGCTGTAAACACCAGAACTACCCCATTGTGGGACAATAAAGGGATTTTCTATTCCATATATCGTGTATCACGATAAGGCCCAAATATATCGTGATATTAGATTTACTTCATATCGCCTTAGTTTAAACTGTAACCGTAACGTTTTTAAGTCTGAACAGATGCAAATTTTGCAACTCTGTAAACTGACTGAGCCTGATTTTGACCAGATCAGCAGGAATCAAACAGAGTCAAGGTTCGTTCCTGTGATATTGGAGCCAAAAACAACTGACCCGTCTATTAAACAGTTCGTTACACAAACAGAAGCGTTGTGTTTTTATCAGCATCTGATATCAGTTTTTTTTGCTGAAACTAGATCTGTATTGGACTGGAACTTCCGTCAGACGTCTAACGATCATGAAACTTCCTCAACAGTTTTCAGGAACTCTGCCCTGCAGACGATTCAAGGCGAAGAATCGGCCTGAAAACGAGGGGATTGCGGCGGTTTAAAGTTCAGACCAGAAACGAGCTCCTCGTGTCTCCATTTTTCTCACCGCGTAGTTGAAGATGAAGCGGGAGTGCGACAGCTTGAGGTGTTTCAGCAGGCTGTAGAGCTTCCTGCAGTTCAGCGTGCACCAGGGGCAGTGGAGGTCGTCTCTGGCCTCCGTCTGATGTTTGTTGTTGCTGTACCGGAACTAGAAGAAAGAAAACAGGCCGTTAGGTTTGAGTCGGTTCAGAGAGACGGCGTCGGATGTGGGAGACCCTCTGACATGATAGACGATCCGTAGCTTCTGCCGAGGCTCCGCTGAGATGGGCTCTCTCCTGGTTGGAACGTCAGTGCTCATGGATTCCTTCACAGCTGCAGGGAAGGGGACAAACATCATCATCATCATCCTCGCCGTTCCCCCTCAGACGGGTCAGATTAATGAAGGCGGCGCCCGGTTTCCTCACCCTGGGTGTGTGTGGCTCTCTGTGTGCTCGGTCGGGTGTCCTGGTTGGCATCAGAGTTGCGGGTGGCTAAAGGTTTGGCCACAGGAGCCGTGGAGCAATCGGAGGAATCCGTGGTCCAACGCAGGGTGAACTGCAGCGTCGGACCCTGAGAGAAACTCTCGAATGGAGGCAAACGCTGCAGAGACGGAGAGAGGCAGCACTGAAAACAACCATCGAGAAATGAGTAAAAATTTCTTAAATTAAGAGTATTTACCCTTATTTTGAGTAGGTAAATGAAATAGTTTGCCAATGGAATGAGTATTTTTACTCTTAAAATAAAGTAATTAGATAACATGCACTGGAAATAAGACTATGCAATTGTGTTTTCTTATTTTAAGTGTAAATTATCTCGTTCCATTGGCAAAATGTCTTCTTTTCCACCTCAATCCAAGAACAAATGCACTTATTTTAAGAAAAAATGACTTATCTAGATTTTATTTAATTTTTCCCCCAATGAGCGATATCTGATTTTGGGGCCAAAGAGACTCGGATAATAGGAAACGTCACAATCAGACGTTTTGTAGAACATTAAGTCGGGAATACACCGTTACATACATGCAGCTACAGCTCAAACTGTACGACGAAACGGGATTTAAAAGTTCTCAGTTCACGATGTTTGTTCTCACGCTGCGACCCGACGCTCTGATGCGATCTACCTGCTCACACTGTACGTCTAAAAACCAGGTGGGACTCAGCTCCGCAGTGAGATGGCGCTACGCGGACTCGTCTAGCGGGAAGCCAAAGGAGCAGAAGAGGAATATGAAGCTCACTAGAGTGAAACACGCTGCCTTGGATATTTGGGCAATTTTGTGCTGAAATCCCTAAAAAGAAAAGGAGACGACGTATTTGGACAAAGACATGGCTGAGCTAACGTGGCTGCTACGGTCTGTCAGTTTGACAGAAAGATTTTACTCATTGCACCCCCGCCATGCTGCGGGGTTTATATCTGAGAGGAAGAAAAAAAAAGAAGAATCCTGAGCGGTTTGCCAACAAACCTGTTTGGTTTTCTCCTGACCTCACGATTCCTGATCGGGAAATCAAATATAGTATAAAATATAGTAATGACAGATCTGCAACTACAAATTAGAGCAGAATACTTTTTATATATTCCCAAAATCTAAACAGTTTACTTAAATGATTGGATGCAAACTATTGGTACTTCAACAAACCAGGAAGCAGATTTCTCATCTCACCCCATGTA